GGCTACAGGAAATGAGCACAAATAGGTGTTTTAGTGAAACTTATCCGAGTATGTATGAATAACTTTTGTACCGCCATTTTCGCGCCACACTTACATGCTTAGTAGGAAATAATATGCATATGATCAATCGGTAGTACCAACTGACCGTCTCTTCTTTGTATACTTTTTACACAATTAACCCTGCTTGCCTTATCTGAGCAGTAGGTGTTAGAATTATCACCATTGTTAGATACTTTCAGTGCGCGATTGTGTAGTCTGCACTGTTGCGTGCCCCTGAGCAGAATTACTAAGTGGATTGGCCATTCTGTAACAAGGAAAGAAGAACTTCGCTAGCTGCTCATAGGATCCGGATTGCAGTCGATTAAAAAACCACTGCACCAAGAAGTTGTTTTGGTGAACAACAGGATTACAGCCCCAACACAGGATAGTGGGCAGGCTAGTTGACATAACCTGAAATCGGCTCCGCTTATCCGAACTATCGTTTATTTAAGCTTGTTTCACCATTACGTCCATGTTTCGTCATCTGTTCACGAACGTTTAGGTGGTAAAACGTTGGCAGAAATATTGAGGATATGTGACTCGGGATGTGAATAAGTGTTGGGCTGTTCTCCGGGCTGAGTTTCGTTGTTAGGCTAGACAACATTAGCGATTATAACTAGCCACTTTCTCCGTCATACAGATCTCGGTACGTCTACAACTTTTTGTTTGTTGCATCGTTATGAATAACCCCACGCAGCAGTAAACTACCCAACTTAACCCCAGCACACTACTGGGGTGCATATGCGTTAACGATTTCACCCAGGACTATTAACCAAATGGCCGAGAAAAGTCCAGTCACGTGGATACCGCCGTGCCACAGGCCGCTTAAGCGCTGCCATAGATTGCAGCCCGATTGGACCGCCACGATTCGGCGCGCTTTGACAGCTAGCTAAACAGGCTGTTTTACTCCAACAGTTATTATCCAATGACAGCATGGCGCATTGGTGACCTTCAAAATAACACTTCGGTGATTGGTTTACGAGTTATGCCTCTGTGGTGCACAGCGCATGGCGTTTCGTTCCAGTTGTCAAATCCTTAACGCATACTTTGCGATCGGACCGGCCGCAAAGCTAGCCACAGATTCAGGTCAGGTGTGAAAACAGCTGCGGGGCTACGTGTGGAGCCCAATCACCTGAGCTCGTACGAATGAGTTGTACATAGCTTGATTGGACACAACCTATATCCTGGGAACTACGTACTCTTCCATAGAGGAATTCATCCATCACCTATTTTCTGTACAGTTGAACCCAACTGCAGTGCTCAATCTGCTTGACTATTTTGTATACACTCGATCGATTTCATCAGAAAACCTATACATGCTTGAGATGACTGTAAGCCGACCCAAACCAAGCTCAACTCCCTCTGACGATTCCGCCGTCGGTGACGTAAATTCCACTAGCAACAGCACGGTTGGCAGCAGCAATGGTGAAACCGCTTCTTCGGACGCCATCACGAGTGCCACTGAGAATTTGTCGGATACTTACTCCAAGCTCTCTGTAACAAAACGACAGTCCTCAATTGGCTTGGAAAATGGACCAGACTCAAGCGACCCCGGGTAAGCTAATTCGGCTCTCAACCGCTTGCGGCTCCATGTGGTCGCCGTAATAACAGAAACATCCCCGTTTCGCCAGTAATCAGATTCCAGTACAGCTAGTTAGTTTAAACCTTCACGTTGCCTTCGGCCTACCTACGCGTGCGAGTGTTTATTATCCAGCAGTGGCTTTAAGTACAATGGCTGGTGTACATTGTGGCTGTTTAACTGCGGACACTAAAGTGCATTTAGCTTGGTTTGATATATTGAATGTGCCTCCGTATTTATACCCATGTGTGTTGGTTCAGTACAACATTTTTGGGGTTTGGTATTGCTCGTTGCTCGTCCGCAACAATGTACTCCGTGGCCGATTTCGTGCCGTTTTGCGTTCACCAGGCAGGGATAGCAGGACCGGATTCATTCATTACATCATCACCGTTCATTACATCCGGGCCTGAACTGACCATCTTGGCTTTGGTGTGCGATATCCGTTTCCCCTAGGAATAACAGCGGCCTGATCATGTACGTTTTAAGTGTTCCCTTGAATTACACCTTGTTGGCCACCTAGTGAATGCATCGAGTTTTCTGGTTGCTAACATACATTGTCACTTACTGTGAGTGGAGTAAGAGCACTGGAACCATAGACCGCATCGGAATGCGCTTTTGTGCAATGATACGATTCGCACTTTCTTTGTGACAACCACCTACTCGAAGTAATTATTCTACGAAACGATCAGTGTAGCGAATGAATTCTACAATAGCTGTTAAGGTCATAGATTCCACAGGTTACTAGATTATTACACGTACGCCACACTCCGAGAATTGTCCTTGCTCAGGACCGCCTGCTAAGGCTCTCAGACTTCGTTGCAGGTAGCGATTGCATTCAGTTCGATTTATTTATCTGAGTTTCCCTTGATTCCATTGTATGGTCCCTTATATAAGCGATTTTGTGCTACAAGATGCACGTCATCTAAATCACCTCTAGTTTCATTTTATCGGCATGATCGGCTTAATGAATGTATTGATTTAACTAAGCCCCATATTTTAGCGATCACTTCCGACTTAGGATCCGATAGAGCAGGTCAGTTTATCGTCCCGGTGACATAAACATATTAAATTAGCTGAGGTGTTTCGAGTTGAATTTAATGAGCATATGTTTGCTTTGGTTTTTTAAATTGCGATTTACGAAAACTTGTGTTGGTCAGACCCGTTCTGTCTCAATTCGGAGCTTGCAGCCATTAGTAGTGTATGGGGACGGTATCTTATCCTTCCACAATTGAGGATTTATTTGGTGGTCTGGGTGTTCGATGAGCCCGGCCGTTTGACTGCAAACGTTTCGTCACCACCTGAGGTAACATAGTGCGCGTTTAATTAGCAGAGCGGCGCGGTACGTAGTGTCAGTGAATGTTTCGATATTCTAGCCGTTAGTCTGAGTTTGGATTGCTGAGACCTTTTGTGTTTCCACATTTCATTATAGCGACTTTCCAGAATAGCGCCTTCCAGACTTCTGCTTAGGATGTCGCCTAGATCAGCCACGACCCTTATCCTACACACTTTTCCGAATCGCTAATCGACTGTTACATCTTTACTCCCTCAAAGTACAGTTTTGCATCTGCTCCCATATTCACTTTTGTAAATACACAGTTTGTACAGATGAACAACCTCATGCATTTGGGGATGTGCGTTTTTACTATTATCCGTTTGTGTCGCCAAAGTGCGGTCAACGTTTGCAAATCTTGGAAATTTCCAATGCATCAATCGTTACACGGTACTATTTACGGCGCCTCTGTACCTGCTGTACATTAATGTGGATCGAATCCTAACGATTCACCTGTGCACTGACCTTCAACGGCTGATTGTACGGACGATCATCGCATATAGCAACAGCGCCTATTCGTAGCGGCCTGGCTGGTCGTTATGCCTTAATGACTGCTAGTTTCTGTTCGCCTGCGTGTTTCGATGCACCTGTCGAATTTGTTTGGTTGCTTCTGTCATGTGGTCGTTTCACAACGAGCTCTGTTCATCCTCCCTGGAATGTCCAGGCAGATGCTGGTTAGTCAACCTATGGCTTAGAAATAGCATGAAATTGCTACGCCTCACTCATGTAACCAGCGCTTCCCTTTGAGCTCTTAAAAATGAGAAACTGTGATGAGTCGCTTCACAGTTTAGTGTACAACCGCATCCGTTTACAGAGCTTTGTATTTGTTTGCTTCCAATCCTATACGTAACCAAATAACCTCTTAAGTAGGGCCATACGTGGTCAAAAATGATGATACAGAACGTGAAAAAGGCGGTAAAATGCCCCCTTTGTTGCTCTCAGTCATGTGGGTCACTTGGTTAGGTATGCTGTGAGCACGGTGGGTACATCTACCATGACCCACGCAATTTTGTATCAATTTCGCAGGCTTCTGATGATATATATTTGTATGCATATATGCCTACCTGTCGAAAAACCGCCATTCGATTCTGCTGGCTCCAAGAGAGTTCGTCTTTGCTCGGGGAGACCGGTTGCTCGTGACCGCGCTTGGCTCCGTCTAGTGTGGAGCGGACTAATGTCCAGCCACCGCATTATGTACGTCTGATATGCATTACTCCCATTTAGTCAGGAATGCCTCTGCTGTGCATAATGAAACCTGGCTGCTATCCACATGCCTCCCGATCTTATTCCTTCTGGTTTGCACTTGATATGGGTGGATGGTTGAAGCTGTGGGTGGTGCAACGCAAGCCACCCATCATCTGTCTGTAGGCGCAAGCGTCCTGTGGTTGCCCTGTGAAGGCTGCAGTGACAGGCAAACCCGGAACCGGATGCTACCAACAATGTATATGCTCATAACTGTGTATACATATTTATTATGCATGCTATAAAAAACCGTACTGAAGTGCTATCACCGGAAGTTAATTAGTACAGATTTGCATTCAAGTGTAAAGCAGTTATCACATCACACAGCCAGGCACTATCCTGTCCATGCAGTGTGCATTACCCACTTGCTGGATATACAACTATTTTTAGGAGCACGTCCCCATTAGCACAAGGAAGGACTTAACACGTAGTAAGAGGTACTCACGCTGACGATCACTCCTGAATCTACGAAAAGAGAATGCGGTGGAAAATAATTACTCTGAAATCATTCTGTGTAACTGGGATCCGTATGTACTTAGTGGACGACGTTTTGTGTGTCACAAAGCATTACAACATGGCGCTAACTATGACTCCTCCGTTTAGAGGTATCGGCAGTACGCCGGTACGCAGTACCGCTGCTTCGCTCCCACACAATCACCAACAGTCGTACATGGACTAAGGATACTGTGGATGTCACCCGGTCCCTACACAGTCTCGAACCGCGCCCTCCGTTTTACTGTCCTTTTATCCTGCACCCAACCTAAAAACAGTATCCATTCTTAGTCTCTTGTTTGTAGAACTGTTTTATTGCGAACAAGGTCCATTGTTCCACCAAATAGTGCTCAGTTTCAGCTTGTTGTCCTTTTGGTTCAGCGTTCGTCAGCGCATTGAGAATGCCATGAATGTTTGCCATCGGAATTCTTGATGATGACATGCACACTCGTACTTCCTTCCTGTGGCTGTCGTAGTTGCTTCTCACTCTCCTAAAACTAAAGCCACTCGGGGGCAGCAATCCCACCTGACACGAACCATGAAGCAATGCCTTTCTTGGCTCCATATCTAATTCATATAACAGTGAGTCCTATACACCACTTATCTCCATAGCTGGTAGCTTGCTTGCTGCTTTGGATGGGTCGCCGTACCTTATCACGGCTTGTCACCGCAAATTTGCCTTCGCGAACGCCAACTAGGGAAGTCAACTTTAACCACCGAACCATCGCACTGAAATGACCAGCCTCTATTCCCACAATACATTTTAGACTACCGATCTGTCGTGCTGGGACAATAGGCTATCTAGCTTGTTGCTTTTTTTCTACCACCACTACTGTAGCGATCTACACCTCACGTACATTCCCACCAAGTTGAAAAACATCTGAATCGGTTGTACGTTTCCCCTGCTTCTTTATCGACTATTTACTAATGCTTATCTCTTGAATCTCCATTCAACCCTGCGTCATAGTGGATATGGGCAACCGTCCCACATTTTCTCAAGGCATCAGCAGTTTACTGTGATTAGTTAGCTGCACGATCAAACGGTGACACCTCATTCTGTAGCAGAATGACGCGGCAATGAAGCACAATCTTTATTGACGCGATAACTGACAATTAACCGACCCACGCAGGTACACATATATGGGTCACGTTTCCCTCCCACGACGCACCACCTTTCTTGTATGCGTTGGCGACACGTCTATGCGCCTAAGCAAATTGTGCCATTGCATAACCCCTCGTGTTTCACCCCAAATCTCTGCTTCTATCCGGCTGATTTGTCCGCTAGTTCTTGATTTGCTCAATCTGAGTTGCGTCGCTCTCTTTGAGCGTGACCAAAGGGGTATCTACGGAAAATCGGGCTGTCCACCACGTTCTCCGTCTTCTCGGCGTGGGCCCGATATCTTTTGTCGCTCGTTACCATTCCCGGCCTCTCCCTTAGGCCTCGAGCTGCTTTGCAGCGTTTCGTCCTTGGCACCAGCGTGTCTCCCTGTTCTTTTATTTCCGTGGCTTTTCCGTCTTGCGTGTAATTCCTGATTTCCGCGCTACTACAATCTTACCAGTATTTTGGCAGATTGAATGCTGGCCCAATGCATTGTTCGAGTACAAACGCCCCCTGATAATTATGGTCCCTTGCCCACTTTGCAGCTTATACTTTACTCAGACTACATCTGGTCAAATCTGTTAGATGAACGCAGCTTCTTATCATCTTCATCAGCAGAATACGTCCATATTAATGTAGGTAGCCTTCATAAACCACAGCTCGGTGTATGTGGTCTTTCATGTCTCGATTCGTTTTCAGTTCGCTACTTTTGGTCTGTTTTATTTGGACCCACTTTATCTTGTATCTTTTTTCACCATTTATCTCTCTCTTACTGTTTCTTATGCTTGTTTAGTGGACCAAATACCTTTGTCTATCCACATGATATCGCGAGCCAACGCTTAGTGATTCGCCTTAATCTTCTCTACACCCTTTTACCTTGACTGCATCTGAGTCGAATTTATCCTTTGTTATTAGCCTGTACGTCGAACTTCCTTCGCGGATCAAGCTTTTGACCTCGTTAACGGTGTACGACGTGTTATGAAAGGTCGATTTGCATATGTGAGACCTCTTGCATATTCCAATCAGCTGACTGTTTTGGACTTACTTTATTCAGACTACTCTTGCTATGGATCTGTTTTACATCGCCTAGAAGTGGTGCTTCCCAGTTGCTACGACACCAGTATGTCCACTAAGACCTATCAATTTTCTGCTCTAGTCGCCCAAGTTATTTGCACTAATTGAGGCCTGTTTGGTTTCGCACGATTCATTAACCAACCCCCTAGAATAGCACAGACCTCATAAATTGTTCCATAATCCACTACTGCACACCTTGCGTGTTGTCGCAGACTATGTCTCAACGATTCTATTTACAATCCCTACGAAATTCGTTTACTTTCTCTGTAGGTTTAGACAGAAGCTGTTGCTTTGAATCTTCGTCACTTTATAGCCAGATCATGATAACAGCTCCGGTCACATAGATCTGTTCATATTTCTGATATATTTCGCCCGTCTATTATGGTACCAGATTTTCCTAACTCAGGGAAGTGTGGCGACTTAAAAATGACCATCGGTTTCACGCCCATTATGATTGCACTTCTTGTCGTTAACGCCCCTCTTCGAAAGTTTGCGCATCCCACCCGTGGTACTATTTTAGAGTAAAAATCACTCAAAATTCACTTGGTAAAGTGGGAGCAGTTTTTTTAAAACGCATCACGCAGTGCCGAAGAACTTCGACGTCGCATCTCTCACTTTTGGCTATAATCGATAGCTGACGTGAATCATGTCAGCGACTCCAAATTTCGCCGGCTGCGCGCTGTCCCAAGCTGTCGCTGTGCCCGTGATGCAACGCCATAGCTAAGACATATTTATCACTCAATCTATGAATTTATTGTACCGCAAAATCACGTTTCGCTCGCATTTCGGCAAGAAGTGCAAAAATTGTCGAGTGATAGCACACCACCATTCAGATAGGCGACTTTGAAATGCACGGGACGATATTTGTTTCGATTTTACTGCGGGTTTATGCAATCGATCTGTAAAGGTCTACTTGTCACGTGCTCTTGCTTGTGACCACCGATTCTCGACCCACCGCTTTTGCGCATCGTACTTTAATTGGAGGCATGTCCTTAAAGCCACACTGCTCGACCTGACAGCGCCATTTTCTTAGGTAGCTGCTAGTCGTAACTGCCTCGTCACGTCGCTGCACTGGTAGGTAGTGCTTAAGTTTTACGACAATGATACCCCCAGCTGTGGCTTGTACCTATCGCTCATACATCCCCCAATTTATTACTCCAATGTCGTAAAGCTCAGTAGCTCAACACTGCCTCACTGCTGTATGGTCACGGAATTGAGCTTATCTGTGCTTTGATTCCAGATTTCATGAACTGGTCATATAGGATACTCGGTGTCAGAGACGAGTTTGGGCAGTGGAACCTGCCTTTTGCGTCATGCAACAACCTCTCTTTCATCAGTGTTTCGTCCGCTTGTCACAGTGCGCTTAAGTTGTCGCAACACATACTGTCAACGGGCTGAGCATCATGGTGTAGACCAGTTACATGTTCCTGGCAAAATGTTCCCTATGAAAGATAAATTGCTTTATTTTTTGTAATAGACTCATTTAGAAGTTGTAGTAATCCGTTGCCGACTATTATATTGTTATTTGCGATGAGAATAAATCACACCGTTAGCTTTAGTATTCCCTGTTGATGCTGTGTCGTGCAACCGAACCTGCGCTTAACACCATTAAGATTTTCAACTCGGAGAAACAGCAGTCTAAGCTTCAGTTGTGGTCCTCAGTCTTCGCTCAGCACATGCACCTCATATGGGCACTCTACGTTTTTGGTGTCCAGTGTACGCACATCAGGTACTCCAAAGTCGGTCACTTTCCAACCGTTGTGACAGCGGTCGCCCACAGAGCTCAGCCGCCTATTGGTTAACACGCCTACCGGCAACCACGGTGTTGCGGGATCCAGTCTCACCTCTGGCTATCTTCACCGGAGGAGTCCAAACAGGGATGGGCAGGTCGTTGGTTGTAGTGTTGAGCTGAAACAGAGCTCGAAAACTGTGTTTTGGAGAATGGCTTAAGGGATTCACATCATAATGTTGCTCCGCAACGTATCGTATTTGATATCTTACACGTAGCGCTCCGGAAACTGAACTGACCTACTAACCTTCCCTGTCTTCCACATGAGTCGTCAACTTCGTACTCTCACATCCTTCAGTCTTGCGCGGTGCCAGAATATGGTGTAGCCGCTACATGCCAACACCGCTCTGATCCAGTCAGCTATAAGCTGCCCCGTTTACTTTTGCTAACAGCTGAATCGGCCATCAACAACACGTTCAGGTTGGAAACAGAAAGCTGTCACGCGATTAGACGATGGCTGAACGTTAGATAAACGTATTCCAGTAGCTAAACAAGTGAAACGGGGCCTAATCTTGGTTTGATGACTCAACTCAACTAGTTTCTCTCAGCAGGAGCCAGATCATTGATGGGAATTTAAACTTTCCTTATTTTGATGTCACAATATTCCCAACGTTCCAAACTATACTGTACGCTCATTTTTCTTTACTTGTAATCTCTTCACACAGGAAAATGTTCATCGGCGGTCTCAGCCCCACCACAACTTCCGGTAAGCGAGGTTTGATGCATCCTTTCATGAAAGTTTGTCTACTCGTAGTGTTTTCGCTTTTCGTCGCACATTCGAATCCAACAGTCGAACCCATATCAACGTTGAAATACGGATGTGAATATTTTCTTCATTCTGCCCACATCAGAATCAAGAAAACTGCTGAGCACTGTAGCCGCGGTCTATCGATTACACTTATTGACAGCGAAAACTGATCAACTTGTATGTACCGTTTTAAGATGTTGGTTCATGTTTACCGTAACCACACTGTGTTGGTCTGGCCGCTAATTGCACATCCACAGGCTGCATTTACTGCTGCCAGACCGGCCTGAGGTCTAAGGTAATCCAATCATCCACTTGGAGGCGTTCGCTTCTGGGCCTCAATGGAGTGCGCAAACGAATCCACCAAGCCTGAATGTAATGCACCCCAGCCTTCGGAATCAATCGGATTTCCGTTTTCTGTTTGTTAACCAAAGCGTACTACGCGACAATTCAGTTACCGTCGCAATTCGAGCATCATATTTCGTAACACGACTATAAATATCCTCACTCTCCATACTCGCCACATTTGTAGCCGGCTTCAACCAAGACCTTTGGCTCGCGTATTTATCACTTCTACCAAAGTATTTTGTTGTCTTATACCACATCTTTTTTGCACCTTACTCGTTTTTTTATACCAATCCACTGGAACCACTACGTCTTTTGCAGTACTCTGCGCGTTTAGATTAACTTCGTTCATTGGAGTATCATGACCCTTTGACTTAAGCCTCCAACAATCTTATTTGCACTACTTGTTGTGAGCTTGAAGTTGGATCCTACTACAATCACACATATCCCCCTCATTGTATTCGATACCATGAACCATCTTGTCCGACTGCATCATTACTTATATCGCCTCCCTTGTCATCTTATTTTGTGGCCTGCGGTTTAGCTCACGTAACAAGACCGTCAACATTCAGGCCGTCACATTCAGGCCGGATGACCACTTGTCTGCAAACCAAATTGCCTCCGAGACCTCCACCGCGCACGCATACCACAAGAGCTGGTTGCAGAGCAACAGGCACCACCTTTTGTGTAATCTGCGCTCACCAGCTAGTAGGAAACGCATAAAAATGTTTCTATCAGAAACAAAGGCTGCTTCACTTATTCAGACTTATCTATCTAACGTACAACCCATCCTCCCTGCAGTCGGCGTGACCGGTTGACAAACTATGACGTGTATCACTGGTGATGTGGGTGCTCTCGATAATATTCATTAATATTTTTATCTGTTCGTTATATCCACTGGTTATTTTCGCCATAACCGTTTATGCTGGAAAACCCTAGCAACTTAACTCCAGCGCAATCATGCCACATGAATGGTTCTCTTTGTTACTGCATCTGCTAATGATCCTCGCATTATATGAATTCTTTCACTCCATCTCCGATTGGCTTACTTCGTCGTTTTACACGATATTTTAATGACTAACTAACCCGTAAATTTCTGCGATTTCACGATACTCAGCGTATCTGTCCATGTTGCGTTAAGCTTGCGGCCAGTCTGTGTCAAGCCCCCAATGCATGCACTAACTTTACTTCTCAAGGGGGACAATGGTGCTGTATACGAAGAATTGCTTCTCCCATGAGCACACAGAGGCAGTCCGACAGACCACTGTTTACAATGTCATTGCAGCATTTACCGAGGCCATCTCACGGAGGTTAAAGTGCCTAATATCTCCAAAACCAAACTGTAATGTGATGCGTCAACGCAGTGCAGTAAAACGCTGCAGAGCATCACATATTGATCTTCATGCTATTGCGCTCAACGCTGCATTTGGAGAATTATCTCTCTTGCGATAGAAGTACTTTGTGAATTCTCTAGCTTCGGTAACCAGTGTGCTGAATCGCTCACTATACTCGGAATCGATCGAAAAGTCATGGTTTAGAAACAATTGATTGGTACGTATCATTTTCGGAGTACTCAGTGGGTGGCTGGATTACTACACGCAAACTTACTCAGGACCGCGATTCGCTATGAAATAAACTGGTCGATTCGGCCACGGCGACCGTATTCGAATCCGATGATTGGTCGATTTTGCTTGCTCGCAGTACTGCAGCTTGTTGGCGTATTTTTAGGCAACATTTCGCTCTTGACATGAAGATTTTGTCCGACTTTGTATGCTGTGCTACAGCATCTTGTATAGCCAATAAGGGCGATAGTCGCGATAACCGAGACGTGAGTAACAGTTCCTTAGGTCAAGTCGATTTGTTCTTCGTACACAGTTTTGGCACATAGGGAGGACACACGAAGGTTATCAGCCTTCGTCAGACTGACCGCATTGGGATTTCTCGTCGCGTATATAACAGTGAACCCGGCTTTTGTATCAAAAGCGCGACTTTGCTCATCAATTGGTTTTGGACCTCCCTGCAACCATCTTGTGTGACATATGTACACTTCTCTAAGGTGACTCAAATTACCGTCGAATCGGTTACACTCAAACTCCCACTTGCAGACATTCCGGCCTGCTATTTGCACTTCAGTTCCGTCTGAGAAGTTACACTTATCGCTTTGGAGTGTATATTTTCCAGTCACCCTACGATTGGAACAAGATTTTCTACATATGATGCCACTGCAGCCGTACATTTTTTGCATTCCGACTGGCTACAACAAGTTGAAGTGATTATTGACTGTTCACTGATCGTAAACGTTTTCGCAAAAACGGTTTCTGGCGTCTTCCGTGATATGGCAAGTCACTTCTCTGGGTCCAGACAGGTTACCACACGTGATTGGAACGAGTCTGCTATTGTGGCAACTACACGCTAACCAGTTTTACGATGACACCCTCGCCTTTCTCTCAACATCACTCCCGATTATCTTCAGCTGCCATCCGGTTCATCTGGTCTGAACTATTTTTTAACTGATCCACGGTGATCAGCAAAATATATAAATAAATATTTTTCGAAAAACTTAAGGCACATCACTATGGACATGATCATATGGACTAGCTGAATTGCTGTAGCCCCATTTCTACGCATCTGAATTAGCGCTTGTAGCTATATAATGCTTGACTGTTTTTTGACAATACCCTATCTTTGCGAACCACTGTGTCTATGCCAACCATGCTGTGCGACAGAAAACTAACTTAGCATCTGCTTCCTGGAACATGCGTCCTACTCGGTTGCAACCTAAGTCACCACCGAAATGCTTATCGCATCACTGGCATATGGTTGTGCAGCACCTCTGTTCCATGTGGCCACAGTTCTGTAGGATTTTGAAAGCTTACAGGAGGGCACCCATTCTGTAGACGTCAAGTTCACTGCGGTGTAAATCAGCCACCAGTTAGTGCTCACCTGCATACTACTAGGACAGCGTATCGATCCACGCGGCTTCGGTAACTTCCTTGAAGTCACGGAAGATGATGACCGGCTACGGATGGACAAGAACCTTGCATAATTTTCAGACTTACAGCCATTGTTCATCCGCACCTCTGTACTTTAATAACCATAACTGATGAACACATGACCTTCTATTCGAAATCATCGATAAAACCATGGAGACTGCCATGTGCAGAAAGTCTCGGCTTCTGATGGAAGGAAAGTGAACATGTCACGCACTTATTATAGTTGATGAGTTGATGAAACCATATTGTCCATAGATCTAAGCTGATGGACTGAAACGGCAGCTAAATGGTACCCACAGTAAACAGTGTTGACTGGCTCAGCAGTACCTGACTTTGCTACTTCTTCACTGTCAACACATTGTTCTCTTCTGGTAGCTAACGGGATCACATCCTCAGCAGAACAGCTAGCGCAACTAACACTATCCAAGGTAGTTTAGTGCGAATAATTTCTCTGACAGGCTACAGTATGGAATGTTATGTACATCACGAATGATCGCTTTGTGCTCCCATTAATGGTAATCTTTTCGTACCGATGACGATGAATCTTAGTTTCTGCTGTCAAATGATTGCTGTTTTAAACAGGTTGTATTCCTTAAAGGACCACGTTTCCTTTACCGCTGTCTCAATTAAATGGACAAAACCGATAGGATTCTAAATTACACAGCAAAAGTTCACTTTTCGAGCTGAATACCTTCACTATGCTTATCTCTCATGTATAGCATGGCGCTCTCTGTGGGAATATGCACTCTATTAGCCGGACAATGGATTAATTTATCTTCAGCTGTATGGAACCGGTTTTGTACTTCTGCTTTACACCTTGTGATTTACTGGGGACGGCGCAATAGGCCGTCTTAGACCAGCTCTACTTAACCAACCTTTGCCCACCGGAATCTGTGTGCCGTGACCATCGTCAGCCACTTTCCACATGTTTTCGTAAAGTCTATTATACACACAACATTAAGAGAATATAAGTCCCGTGTCCCCCACCAATGTCCTCTCACATCGCACCACTGCTTTATGGTTCATTTTCGGCCTAAACGTTTGTCGTGTTATTGAATTTCATAGGTTTCTGACACATTTGCGGTACATACCATGGGGTTGTAATTAGACTTTACTGTGCTCACGATTTGGCTGACGATTACTGTCCTACAACCACCAGCATGGCATGAACCATACACAGTAGGCGATTGTGTGTCATCCTTCGTTAGTTAGATCAGAGGCAGTGAGCAACTTCGCGCCCACCACCATCATCCTCGTCATCATCCTCCCATCGTCTGCATCAGTTCATCAGCTACTCCACACTCGTAAAATGTGAGATGCATCTACCGTTTCACAATCGGAATGGGCAATATATTAAGACTTTACTGCCCTAGTCAACCAATCGGGACCAGACACCTCCACTTTACTCATATCTACCGTAATAAGCAGCTATTTTTTGCCAAAAATGCGGTAGCATCTACCAGACCGCATTTTTGGTTCGCACCAACGCGCGTCATGCTCAGTCTTGTCTCACCGATGAGTTATTACCACATGCAATTTAAATATCCTTCTGGCTAGAGGACGACAGAGAGTACGTTCCTGATACCTGTTGCGAACGATAATGTGCACCGTCTAGCATTCCCCGATATACTACTCAGACCTATCCTGATGCGATCTGAGTGGCCTGCGATGTGAGTACCCAAATGTGTCTTATTATTATTGTAATTATTGTGGTGTAATGGAAACATAAGAGATTTATCTGGAGAGCGCAAAGCAGTTGGGCCATCTATCTTTTTTTAACGAAGCTATCTCACTTTGGATTCCAGTTTGGTTTTGTGCTGTCCATTTGTAGCATAATTCGCGGAGTCAATGCGCATCGGAACGTTCTGTCAGCATCCACACACAATTGATGGGTCCAGCTTAGTGGCTTTCGAGGCATATGGGCTCTACGCAGCGTCGGTGGGGAGCTCATGGGACATCTGAGCACCACTGTTCTCCACTTGGCGGCGCGCACATGTAAACATCTAGTGCAAATCCTTGTGATTTTTACCCTAGTTTGGGCTGATCCTGAGCATGTTACCCGAAATATACCTCAACCATACACACTGAGCCTAACTTCCCACCCACCACTACAAGGTTCTGATTGTAGGATAGCTGGGTCATAACTGTAATTTTCTGTCATCGCATTGTCCTACTGTTCACGACTGCTGTTCTAGTTGTCTTGCTCTTGCTTTGGGTCCGATGATTGTCCTCTGAATTTCATAGCGATTGCCGCGCGAGCTTGGGATGTTCTTTTCTGGGACTAATCACTTCTTTTAAGTTTCGCTTGTATCCGCGGCTCATCATCGGGCTCGGCTTTAATGCCTCTTTCCTTTTTTCCATCATCAATAGCTTCACTGTCAGCTGATTAAGTCATGTCCTCAGCATGTCTGTGAGCCGGCTACCTCTGACGTGCGTTGTTTACCAATACTTGTGGCGGTCGAGCACGCCGATACGGATTACCGACGCTTCGCTGCCGCGCAACCACCACCGATCACACTTAGGCTAAGGATACTGCGACAGTCGCCCTGTCCATACGCAGGTTCGAACCCACGCCGTCAGAGTACAAGACAAGCTCGTTACCTTTAGGCTACGGACTCGCTTAGGCTACGGGCCGGCGTGGTCGAGTAAAGTCTCAAGGTGACCACTCCATGACCATGAGGGGCCCCACCGAAAGATTAAATAGGGTTGGTGCTCATTGTCTTCCCAGTTGGGTAGCTCGGGACGGCCTACATTAGTCTTTGGACACCCTAACGCATATGACCCAGTCATGAATCTAGTAGCGTTTTCTCCTCCTTTCTGACCTTTAACATCCATCTGACGAAATTACTTATTGTCCACTTGTACTGAATTAACATTATTGCTAGTTGCGTGTTATTAGATCGAATCTCTTTCCTGCTAACGCTGCATTTTGTTACATTAACGATTTTTATGGCGATACAACAGCAGACACAGCCTGTACAAGAAGTTGAAGAGCATGCAGTTTTCTTTCTATGGCAATTCAGGCGCTGATTTCCTAGTGACACCAGCTTGTTTGCCTGTAGAGTTCGTGGTGAGTTTTCGTCCTAAAAGAGAAACGTATCTACAGTAGCAAAGAGTGAGGATTATCCTAAGTGCCCTGACACAACCGGGTCACTAGTTTATACACTGAGTTCAACGAACCATTGACAGCACTCTAAGCAGACCAGTGTCACTCAAAAAGTAATCACTTCTCTCGGATGAAGCAGTCAGAAACATTGACCTTGTGAGCCTTATGTGGCGAGACGAACATCCATTAAACACGCTTATAGATCCGACAGGATTATCTACTTGATTTTTTCCGCACAGATAAAATTGACCAAGATCAAAGGATTAACAGTTCTGCGCACAAATTTTTTCCCCAGTTGTCAGCTTCTGGGGCATCGGCCGTGAAGGCCACGTGCTGCCTCCTAACTTCTTTTCCCAAGCCCCTTGCAAAGATGCTTCTGTCGATACTGACATTTTGAAAGCAATTCCCAAGCCTTGTGTACGAAATGGCAAGCCTTATGTATTCCAACAAAACTGCACCATCACATTAATGTTAGGTAAAGCAAGAGTGGATGCTTGCTATTTTTCATAATCACACAACCCTCAACATTTGGCCCCCCCTCCCCAAATTAGAACCCATTGGATTGCTACTTTTGGACCGTAGTCGAGAAACAGTACAGCAGATGCTCCCATAACATTGAATATTGAATTGGTGTATGAAATGAAGGAGAAACACGTGGTTTAACCATTGAAACAGCTCCTGCAGCTAAAGTTGGTTTTATCAACTAGCTTTACAAAGGACCTTTATTTCCGTCGCTCACGTATTCCGCAATAACAGAGTCATTATCTGTTATTCCCTGTTATGTTTCGTAATAAAAATCTGTCTCTAAACACCTTACCTACTTAGCGGTAATATTATTCGTATTATTTTGGCCACCTGGATATTGCACCATAGCTCAAATTGAATCAGGTGAGTCGAACTAAACTCACTTCCAGCCAGATGGGAGTAGTCGGCTTTTCTTCGTCCACTGTAACACTGATGCTTTTCACGATTTACATATTGGCTTGAGCATGCCACTATTTTCGATTATTCCACATGTGGGTTGTGCGTGTATACTTTTCATGTGGGTCAGTTGTCTGGGCCGTCTCAGTGTAGAGGTGCTTCAGGTCTCTAGTAGCACACGTGCACATGTGCTGTGAATTCTCTTTGGAAGCAGTCCTACACGCGAGTCATGGCATCTGCGTTGTCTTCACCTTTTCATTATGCTTTCAAACTCTGGAAAACCACTTTTCTTTGCCGACGCGCAGCTACTTGAGAAATGGCCCAATTTTGCAAACTACTATATCGCGTTATCTGCTGAGTCGGTGGCCTAGTTTTCTCCACTGTCACGTGCTCTGCACATCAACCGATATGGCATACCAACCTGATTTCACCCTCGTTGTCCTTAACTGGTTCATCTCGCTTGCTAGCGTGCTTGTAAAACGGAACCTCGATGTGTTCCGGTATAGACTTTCAACAAAATTCATCCCATTGGCATTTCGGTATACTCGTCCCTCGGTAGCATCTAGCCCTCAAATCCGACGTGCCTCTTCCGAAGGTGACTGTTCGTATTTCCACTCGCTTTACAACACACCGACCCAGTGCTTGGTAAGAATTTACAACTATGTACTCCCACTCTTCTGCCCAGTGATTACATACTCATTGCTTGTTCCTTTGTAGAGAAACTCCGCGATTATTTTCAAAAATATGGAGAAATAAGAGAGTTCATGATTATGCGCGACCCTTTAACAAAGCGTTCCCGGTGAGTTGAGTTAGTCCGGTTACTTTTTGGAACAGTTTAGAGAACTGTTATATTTGATACTCTTTTAACATCTCTTAATAGTCTCACTTAAAATATAACCCGTTGGGTGTTTTTTGATAACCCTACAGTCCGGTAGCTTTGTTGCCCACTACTCGTGCAGTGGCATAGGTCCATTGCCGGCATTCCTACTTATGGCGTTTGGTTTGATCACACTGGTTCCATCAATGCCACTTGAATGCCTGCTATTTTTCAATGTCATGCAATGAATTTGAAGTACTGCAAAGGGATTACTCCGTTTGTGATGACACAAAATAATGGTTGATATGCTTCCTTTCTATCATTGAACCCCGGAACCCCATCGGTTTGGTCAAATGTACACGTAGAACGAGAGTTAAGGTGGTGTTTTGCATGATTCATTGAAATACTGTGGAGCTATTTGCGCCTGGTCCGTCATGAATCTCACGGATATCGGATTCACGTGAACTAGGCATGTGAAAATCGGACCCTCTTGCGCCTCATTATAATCTTATTCGTTTGTGCTTATCCCTTCCTTTACTTCACAGCGGCTTCGGTTTTGTCACCTTCAATGATCCCATGTGCGTGGAGAAAGTTCTTGAAGCAGCGCCACATATCCTCGACTCCAAAAAGGTGAAGCAAACTAAAGCTTGTTTTCTAATCCACACCTCACACCACATGTTCATTCTTCAACCTCGTATCTATAAAGATTTTAATCATTATCCCCTGCTTGCACTGTAACTGTCTTCACTATCTTAAGAAAACGATAATATCCCTCACTATCAACACTCACGCAAGTGCATATCGACCCTGCACAGACCTTTCAATCACACCCTCACGGCTTTCTTCCGTGTTATGTGAAGTCAACTCACACGATCTCATGTTTGTTCAACTTGTCAAAACCAATGAAACTTAACCACTGGACGCTGACACGGATCCTACACGCTCGTTTAGTATAACCACTTCATGTCCCGGAGGACAGCGTATTTTTTCATTCTGCAACGTCTATCTGTTCTATTGTGGTATCCCCCTGTTATGGTCTTTTTCCCAAGGCATGCTCACCCAGACATATTATCACACTGGTCAACTATCGACTAAATATTTTCTGTATGCCAGTAGCCTACGACCTCCCACTGGTGCTGCAATGAGATCATTGTCCCTAACGAAAACTGTGCTTGATTGCGTTGATCTAACCATTTCACCTACCTTTTTACATCTCCACTTACTCTGAATGTTCACAACAGGTGGTGTAAGGAAGCCCACAAACGTAGTTAGCCTAGTGAACTAGATACTGGTCACATGGTTTTGGGCTACAACCACCATCTGACTGTAATTCTTCGCTTCATATTTCTACCTCTCATCTTTTGATTTGCATATTTAGCTATTCTACTCTTCTAGTCAGTAAGGTGAACAAACTTTACGGTTGCACCATCATTCGCTGCAAAAGGCATTGTTTGCCCCATTGAAATTGATCCCCTCTAAGCTGTCCACTGCACAGGATGCAGGCAACAAAATTCGCTCGAAGAGATTGAGTTGCGTGTTTCCGTCGGCACCAAATCAAAAACAATATCGACAATGGGTAACAGTACTAGTTACAAACAACTTAATCGTCATTACCATGACGTGCCGGAACAATAACGCTTCCCACTCAAAGCAGCTACAATAGGAAACAATTCGGTCCGAGAGCCAACAATCTATGCTCCAAAGCGGCAGGGGTCCATGGTGCCGACATCACACTGCACTGAGCGTTTATACGAGAGCTGGGTGAGCGTTGTGGCGGGGTGAGGTCCATCATTTTGGATCATTTAGCACCTTGGTCACAGATGCACTGGTGCAGGAGAAGCAATAGCCAAACAATAGTACTCAGTACGGTAGGGGATGTAGAAACACGTAGCAGATGAGGTATATATATATATATATATATATATATATATATATATATATATATATATATATATATATATATATATATATATATATATATATATGGTTGGCGGCATCCGTTTTCGGATTTGCCTGTTACTGTGGCCATCCACAGGACGCCTGCGCCTACAGAGGGACCATGGATGGCTTGCGCTGCACTACCCACAGCTCCAACCACACACCCCATATTCAGTGTAAACCCGAAGGAATAAGACCGGGAGGCATGTGGATGGGAGCCACATTTCATCAACGGAGCCGGCCCACACTCCTTCACAGGCAAACACAAGCACGCTGTATTTGGAAATCAAGCGCACACAAGGCGGTGGCTGGACCGTAGTCCGCTCCACACTGATTGCATGGAACCGCTCTTTGAGCCTAGCACGGCCACAAGGACCGTGCACCCCGTCCCCTCCAGCAACGACCAACGGTCACCTGGAGCCAGTATGAACGAGGTAGTGGGTAATAGACAGGTAGGCACCTTGTCAAGATGCACATCAAGCGCAACCACACCGGGGATATCAATCAGCAGCCAATCAGTTGAAAGGACAAGCTGAAATAAAACAAATCCAAGAATGCATACAGATACGGTGGCAAAACTCTTCCCTAAATTACCATATGAAGTAAGTTGGTTAGCAACGAATCCGCGATAATTAAGAAATGTCCACAAGTTACATAAAAATGCTACAAACGCAACAAAATTACCGAAGATAAGCGCAATTAGCGTAAGCAACGTGGCCAGTTAATAGAACATCATTCAGGTAGGCAGAACAAACCAACTAAAGTGGAATGAAATGTATCCAGCTTAAAAAGACCTAGTTTAAGTGTAAGTTGGTTTAGCCCAACTGCGGTGAATGAGCACCAAGAATGCAACATCAACCTCAGCATGGGGCACATATATATATATATGCGGAATATATATATTTGTATATATATCGGTTCATGAGAAATTACCCACGAGACGGGCAGGGCAAAACATCTCGGTTCACGAGGGGAGAAAAGGACAGCCTAGGAAATAGGTTTACTGTGTTTGGGGTCAGTGCTCCACATGGATGGGGCTTGACATATTTACTACTGATGGCACAGGTCGAACGTGGGTCACTTGATCTGTAGTCCCTGTCATGGTTACGTCTTTGGTTACGTTTCACTGTCGTTGTTAATATTGTTGATGTCTTTACTTCAATTATTTTCGCTGAAAGTTGCTTGTTAAGTACCAGGAAGTGATCACGTGAAGCTGACCATGGTCTAGCCACCACTGTATGCTTCTATGCTGTTTATCCCAGGTCTAAATGACCAACCGAAAACAATCGAATGCGAGCTAAATATCCATACCGACCGTGTGGTCGCTGTGGAAGATGCGATCTCTGGGGCCTGACAGAACCCTGAGACCCTTAGCAGATCCGCTTACTCATACATACTATGTTGTAAGAAGTGTGATTTGTCATGCCTCCCAGGCGAGTGTCATTCTTGTGGGTTTACGCGGAATTTCCTGTACTCGATTGTAAGCGGGTACAGTGATGAATCATCTGCGCATTCCACCCTTCATTGACTGGAAACTGCTACCACCGACCAGGTTTGACTGTTAACTATGAAGCTCTGCTCTAGTTATCAACACGTAGGCCAGCGTCTTGAATATATCGTACTCCATTCAGAACGAGACTTACTGGACGGCGATCTGCCGTATTTGGTATATTTGTTGCTGAATTGGTGCATCCTTTTTCACATTTTTCCACAAACGAAACAAATTCTTTAACCTTTATTATGTGTTCACCATTGTGTGTGTGTACACCGCTGTCAAGGTGACCGCCACTGGAGCGCGGCGAAACTAACGATAACTTAACCGGACAGTTGCTACTTCGTTTCATCGTGTGTCCAGTTCACTAAGTGTCATCCGCGCCGGCCGGTCACTATCCATGTAACCTTATCCTCTTGATCGTTGTCAAATAGCTAACGACGAAAGCGAATCGATTTTCTTCCTGCCCTTACAGTCATAGCGGAATGTGGGTTACTTCCTGGACAGTTTTGGTTATCGTTCTTCATGAAGTCGCGTGCCTTTAACCTGACAGACGTGCCGGTAACGTCTTTTCACTACTGCGGTAGGTAACTAACTTTTCACTCTAAATCTATTAACAGATCGACCCGAAATTGGCCGTCCCTCGAAAACCCGGTCAAGGCGCAAAGGTGAGTTAACTGTCTCGATGTCTTACGCGTTACGTCAATGAAAGATTATCCTTTTCGTCACCCATTAGCAGTCCACAAGCTATTGAACACTTGTTTGAATGTCTGGACAATCGACTTGAAGTCACGTCTTTGCTTAGGCTTATCGCTCATGGGAGGTCAAAAGGTTAATCACGTAGTTTAATCATGTACGCTTCAGCCACTTGACCTGGGATATTATCGCGATCAATCGTCTTTGGCTGTCTCTGTTTTTCGTTTAATTTTATTGTGTATCCGATTTGCAGCGGAATCGTTTACATTGGATCGAGCTACGCACTCTAATCCATTTGCACCCTTCCTCTTTGTCTCCATAATGTCTCTTACATGACCGCTTATGCGTCGATCTTCACCGAATCGTATTTTTACAGACTGTTGTATAGAGTGGGGCATTTAAGCTATTCATCAGCTATACTCAAAAGAAGAGCTATCGCGCTTTTGGAAAAGCACTGGACAGCGGTCTTCTCTTGGAGCTCACCAGCAATGCGCATTCTGTCTGCTCGGTGAGAGGACAGAACCCACAATCCTCCACTTTCGAGGTAGCGGCCGAGACCATAGCACCAAGAGAGACAGTATCTGTTCTGCGCCATAAATTGCTGTCTTAAATCAGAGTACTCTACAAAGCGGTCTGATAACACTGCATAAAGAGTAGGATTTCGGGAGCGGAAATCGTTCCTCTTGGCATCATCCTTGTCCCGCGCATGTTGACAAAGAACGTGGTTGTGACGTATGAGTCGTGTTACACCACGGCTAGTTAGTTGGTCATAGCGACCGACACCTCCCTCTCCACTATCCAGCAGATGGCTATGGGTTCGAATTTTTCACCAGGCAGCTAAATGCGCTACTACTGACTCGAAAGGAATAAACGTCCGTTGGCGCCTCTTCGGACGTGTGGTGGTCGTTTGTGACCAATACTCAGGATGGAGTTGTTTGATGAGTTAATTTCAATCCCAGCGTCATATTGAGAGGGAGCACCGTCAAAACATCCCCACAACATAGTAGAAGATAATTTGCCTTCGCCGTCTAAGTTGATCAAGCTACATAAGCATTCGTACCGAAGCAGCCAGAGCCTTTAATGCTCCTGCGGTTATTTCATGCAGTAGGCATGCGGTCTCGGAGAAACGATCATTCTGCCTTCGAACCTATATTCAGACTGGCACAGCACTCGGATGCATAACATCTAGTTCACATGCCAATGTTGGGTAGGAGCGACAAGTTAGAATCGTATCCCTTACACCGTTGATAGTTCCATTTGTAATAGCTAGTAGTGTCCGCTTCCCGATTTACCCGTCACTGACTGCGATCAGCCTCGGGATTCCTGAGCCCATAGCTAATGGGCGAGAGGTTTTGGAGACAAATACACTGCCGAATTATTTCTAGACCTTTTGAACTCAAGGGTAACGAGTAATTTGCGCTGCTTCAATGTAGTTCTATCCACATATCCTCTGTCCACGGTAAAGGTGAAACGATGGAAGAATTTGCAATGAAGTCACGATTAATTCTGAGCCAACTCGCACTCTTCCACCATACCTATCGGGTAGTTTTGGGTTGCGGTTCCAGACTCGCATACACACATGCGCACACATACAGCCTGTTCCCTGATAGCACCACCCGCAATTCCAGTCAAAAGATATTGCATCTGCGAAGACGACGTACCAGGTGTGCCGCATCCGCAATGTTCATGGGGTTGTATTTGTACTCAACGGGAAACACGCTTCTTTAACAAGTAGTATGTTACACCAAGAATGAACAATCTACTGATTAAAAGCAGGGAATCCGGTACTGTGTGGGGGGTGAACCGTACTGGGGGATTACGGACCATTTCGAATAACACTTGCGTCTTACGTTAATTTACTGCAATTGAAAAGATAATCACTTTCTAGGTTTATCGCACAATGCTATCACCTTCTCAGGTCTTGCGCAATAGCACGCGAAATCAATATTGCCAAGCTATATGAGTGTTTTCGCGAACGATGCCGGTTGTGCTCAAACCGCCACACACTTGTGGTCGAAAATGAATGCACCTAGCACTTTCGAGTGCACTACCACTGGGCTGTGAAAAGAGGTCCGCTTTACCAGGTGCGCAAACGTCTTTGCATAAATGCATCCAGTGAATGATGATCGTGGTTTGGTTTGGTTTGATTCCGGAGGAACGCGCAACGCACCAACTCGCATTGACATGATGCACGCGCGCGCACAGACAAATCTCGAATGAATAACACTTTGGAATAATTCATTGAGTATCCTGTAGCATACGAAGCGAGGTAGTTGATGAATATGGAAGAACAGTTGGCCAACAGTCCTTAACTTACCGGTGTATAGAAGCCGGTGCAGTGTCCCATCAAACATGGTCCCAATAACGTACGGATACTTCACAAAATCACATAACGTTTTTATAAGGTAATTCAGGGCTAATCATAATCCAAACAGCTGAGTGTGATGGGCCTAATTGTTCTCATTCGTATCGACATGAGGGAGTCTATTAGTACCATAGAAGATAAATGGTGAAGAGCATTGTTGAATGGTCACCCAAAGTTTATCGGTCAACAAAATCTCATTGGAAGAGTATTCCTGATAGCTGAACTCAATCAGACAGCCATCAGCCACCGGGCGAATGGCTGGTCAGCTTTTATGAACCATGCGAGTTCGTTCTCGAGATCGTGACCCATTAAACCCTGAGGGTGCCATTAATCGGCGCGGCTAAGCAGCGGGTTGTATCATTGTACAACTCTCTCTCGATTATCCGATAAGTACTTGCTGTGCTGAGGGTGAAGTAGCCCATACTTAGGCAACGGTTTCTGAAGTGTAATTTGTCAGTTGGCTTGTAAGCATTTGGGGCAGAGTACTATGTACAAAGGAATATTAGGGGTTTTATGGTTGGGGCAGGATGCACTACAACTAATTACTATCCGGTGCCTTTCCGAGGTCGTATCTGCTGGTATCTCTCTGTCGGATTGCTTCTGTGCTTGCATTTTGGTCGCAACGTTTCCTTGTCTTGTTGCTGCCATAATTCCCCATCCGGTAAACACACACACACGCACGCGCTCCCACTGGCCTGGGGCTTGGTAATGTCCGTCACGGATGCGTTGCACCATGGCAATGTTATGATTAACTGGTGAAATTTGGCCCATTAACAGTCCTAAAGCAGCCATCCTCGTCACTGCCATAACCCAGTCCAATGCGCGTATCTCGCAATCCAAAAAACAAACACGTGATTACGAGCAACTGCTCATTCGAAAATCTCAGGATCGTAGTTGTTGCCTTTCAATCCCAGCAGATACGTTCGTTTTTTGGACTGTTCTGGCGGTCTCTTTGGGCTCACTATCCATGTTGCCCTTGTCCCTGCACCTCCTGGAACTTATTACATAGCCCATGCACTGTCAACCGGCATGGTACACTGACTGTTCAAGCCTACTTCCATAAGCTCCCAAAATGATTTCTGCAAACTGCTCTCCCGCTTGGCAACGGATTTCCCCTAGTTCAACTCGTTACTCCGACGAAATCGACGCGTACGTGCACGTGCACGTCCGGATGACGTTTCATTGGCTTCTTCCAGTTTTCCGTGTTCGTACACCTTTGTGCAGGGACCGGGTTGCTACTGTCGTCGCTTTTTGGACGTCCATTGGTGATGACTCATACGGGTTAGCGCCGCATTTTCCATGGTCCGAATGCTGCTCGCGCCCGTTCAGGTTCGGAACCTAGTAATGTTGGCAGGGTATATCGTCCATCGATCCCCATGTCTTAATTTGGGCGATCACTCAACCGACTAGGCGCATGGGCACGTCCCCAGCTTAGGTAGATAGAAAAATATACCAAAGCATCACCGGTCTATTCGCTGGTTGCGTTCACATTTTTCCGGGCTCAAGCCGGTCGCTGCTGGAGATTTCCTATCTAGCCGAGACACGTGGCGCGTATTGCACTTCTCTTGGATGTCTATTGTGGTGGGACAGTCACTTTGCAACCATGATTTCTATCAGTTTACCACATAAACGGCTACGAGTGAGGCCATCTTCGCAAAATCCACTGACGAATCAACTTTGCGTGGTTGGAAAAAAGCGAACGTTGGAAATGAAATGGTACACGGCTATTGAGGAACTGGCATATCAGACTATTATATACTACCAACTATTTTGACATTGATTTCTATTGTGACCACACCCTAAATCGGCGTTTTCTGCAGTACTACCGTATCCATCCTGATGTGTGCGTTGCTGTCTCATCGGATCGGATGAACTCGGTGTCTGGCAAGTGGCATTTTGTGTGCGCACACGGCGAAGAGTGGAATCTTGACACCGTCCCTTGATAATAGGGTTGCTACTTAATTACTGTATATTCTAGTTTCCTACCCTCAAATCCTTGCTCATTTAACTGGTAGTTTTATTTTGGCTTACGCATATCCGCTACCTATTTGTCTGCCAGATTCCTTAGTTTCATTTGTATGTCAGGTAGCTGATTCCGATAGGCTATGTCTACTTTGACCGATGCGAGCATACGCATGGGCTAATCATGGTCGTCATGCACTCTCATTGTGTAAGCACTGGTGCGGACGCTGGCGAGACAAATCCTACTCCTTGTGGTTTTAGTCTGCTTATGCTTGAATGCTAGATGTGTGCCGGATTCTGATTGCCGGATTAGTTACTAGCTCTAACTGATCTCGATTCCAGTGAGGGAGTCTACCCGTCCGATGCTGCCGGCTAGATCTCTGCGACCTATTCTAGATGAGGAAAGCTAAGTGCATAAGTGTTTTAATGTCAGTATTAGTCACAAACAGTGCTTCCATCATAGAGTGACCCACTGCACTCCCATTAAAATGGGTGGGCACACTTTTCCGTGTTGCGACTGGTCTATGTGTCGGAGGTGTGAGGTCCGGTTCCACATCAATCTTGACTCCCATACACAAGCTTTACTCCTCCCGATTTACAGTGCAATTTGGATTCGTGTTTGGTGCAGCGCAAATCACTCACTGT